TCTAATAAGCCAACATTCTAATAGAAATAATTTACACATACCTCAGTGGCGAGATGTTTTTGAGTGATGTATGAATGTCCATCTCTCGTAAACACCACATCGATCAGAGACCTTTGGATTAGTTTCGATACCACCTCCACGCAATTGGCCTCCGATAATCTAAACGATGGGAAGGATGTAGAACAACTCAACTGTTAGAGTTTTACCAACATGAGGAGCTCTCATGGAACTCGGAACATAGGGAAGACGACAGTGTCGTCACGGAAAAGCGACACAAACTTAGCCCAATTATGCAGCGGCACGCTCCAAAAACAAAAAGCTTACAAAGAAAAGCATGGAGAATCTAATGCTCTCTTTTTACTAGACTGTGATACTTCCGATCTTGATTATGCAATGCAGACCTATTTGATATTCTTTCCTTCGCCATTAGCTGTTGACAAGCGTCCACCACTCTAGCCACCCTCCTGAAGCAAGGCCACAAAATGCACCAAAATTCTCTCCCTTCCCCATAGAGATCAAAAATGTGCGAAAATTTGGGATCGCACCAGATTGAACCTTTTGAATAACGCTTAGCTCTATAAACTCCGAAATTGTTCAAATAGCAAGACTGAAGTGGTAGCTGATGAGTAGCCCCTCAAAATTTACGATATAAAAAACAACCAAACGAGAAATACAGAAATACTGACTTTTTTGATGACTGCGAAAGCTGCACTCTTTGCAGATCTGACACGAGACGTTGTATATCTGCCCAGGTTGCGGCCATACCGACCTATGAGGTAAAACGAGTAATCTACCTTACGTATCTTTCAGTGCCGAATTATAAACATTGTCTTGGAATTATGGCCATTCAACAGTGTGAAACGACATTAAATAAATAATTTATAAAATCCGTTGCATCGATAATTATCTCGTAATTGCCTTGGTAAACACTTTAAATACATACGATTTCTCAAATACATAGTATCACAGAAGGAAACCATGATCAACAAGTAAATTAAACAGCATTAATCAAAACAAGGCATTGACCGGTACGATATGCTTATATCACTATAAGAAAAACCAAGTTCTCGTTATGAAACAGCTGAGGGATCTGTGGCAGGAGGATTAGGCTCCGGGTCATTGGAATTTGCATTCCGGTCCAGTACATGTGATTTCGAGTCCAAGTCCAATGTGTTCGGAGGCACTTCTACATCTATTCGGACTAAATGGTCATGAAATATGAGGACATATGTGCAGCTAGGTGAGGATCGGGAGCCCGACAACCGTCCAGGGACCTGAAATTTTGACACTTTTCGTGGCCTATGAGCTGTTGTAGAAGTTAGTGAACCAGACCTCTCCTTCCGTTACAAGAGCGTCAAAAGCAGACCAGAATCGAGCACTGGGTAATCCTACTCGTGCTTGTATCACATTTATGGAAACGGGCCTTAATTATATACTTATTTTGTAGAAAAGTACAAGAGAATCGAAGCTAACTAACTTAGTAGTGGCAGAAAGTATTGCCCTTAACAAGTTTTTGTGTGCATCCAGATATTCCTGAGTGAAAATCGTATCGCCTTCAAGAACTCCGCTGAAGTCAGCCGGGAGGTGATCCAGCAACAAAGACTTCAGCAATTCCTAAACTTTTATGTGCAAAAAGAGACCACAGCTCTCGTATCTCATTCGTATAGGAGGCTTTCAACATCC